TTTTTCAAGCTTGTAATGTATTATTTAGCAATGTAGTTTCTTTCAGCTATTAATAATTCATGCTCTCCCACTTCTGCTGTGAAATCTGTTTTTTCAGTTTAACTGAGTTCAGAAAATAAATTTAAATTTTATTCTGTGATAATTAATATCTTCTTATGTGAAAAGTTAATCTATAGCATGGCATCTTTGATTTCCCTGATCCTGATTATGTGATGCAAAGACATCTGCCCTGCAGCAGACAGTGTTAAAGGACTTTCAGTCCTGTTTTGCAGTCTGCACTTGGACTTGGTGGCTTTATTGGCCAACAATGAGTAATGCTGGTCCCTGCAAAAGTGAAGGCTCTGAGGTGTTCCCAGGCCTGAACTTGGCACCTACCTAGACCTGTTTCTAAGGCTTATTTTTCACATAAACTAAAATTCTGAACAAGTATTCTTTTCTCTATTGTAGTCAAACAAATGAAAAACTCCATTTCCTAGCAGGGATTTACTCTTGAATCACAACAACCTTTTCAAAGAAAAAAAAAACAGAGAAATACAGATGCTATATTAGAAACAAACAAACAACTTTTTTCTATCAAATATTTTTGCCTACCTCTAATTAGTCTTGTTTCTTTGTGAATTTCAGGCATGCTATACACATATCACACATACCACTTAACCAAATAGGACTGGAAAAATTGATCCCTATTGATCAGGATTTTTTCTTTAATTATTTTGATTAAACAGAAGGCTTTAGCTTATGAGAATATAAGTATGTTGCCTGTAACACAACTCAAAAAAAAAAAAAAAAAAAAAAAAATTCAGGTAACTGCCTTGATCAAGTTTGTTTCAATGCTCTAGAGTCCCCATAAATGGCACTTTAGTCGTAAGCCATGCTAAATGTTTATTATTTTCAATATCAAGAAAAACATGCAATATTATTCTCTTCTGTTCTGTTGTGAGTCACTGCTATAATTCAGCTTCTGTGACATTTGATATAATAGAAAGGAAAAGTTTCCAACCCTATTAGCATGCAAAGCACAGGACAAGCTTGGTCTCTTGTGATTTTTCTTTATTTTTTCCTCCTGCATAGCAACACTTGGGCAAAGATGCCATAACTACAGTGCATGCATTAAATGAGACCTCAAGGCTATCTTCTTCAAAGACACTGATATCTTCCGTGATTTCTCTGTGTCATGAACACTAACTGACGCTATGTGAGACTTGTGTGTTTTTTGCAACACCACAGTAGGTGAAGGCATACAATAAAATAGAAAATTACTAAGGCTCCTAGCACCAAAGGTAGTATAAAATGCAACTGTAAATCAGTCATAGAGAAGAGCAGTGGGCCCAAGAAACTTGACAATGTCCTGCGTTTTTCAGTTTTCTGGCAGTTACATTATTTCCTCTTTCAACTGTGCTATGTTTCCAGCAGCAGGGTCTCCAACTGAAAGGAAGGGGCAGATTGCAGTGGTGTGTGGTTTAATAAGCTCTAAGGAGAAGGACAGTGGGAATGGTCATTCAAAGAGACCTTCTGGGATTATTTACTTGTTAACGAGATTTGGGACATCTCACAAACGTTTTGATAGGATGTCAGGAAACACAAGAAGGCTCCAGTGCCTGTAGTCTATGTGAGCTCTGATGAAGTAAGGTAAGACTGGGGAGAGGTCATAGGTGTGAAGTTTAAGAGAGCAATTGAAAGCAGAAGTTAAGGGCATCAATAGTAGCATAGTCTGAAAACTGTCTCACTAGATACAATCAGGGAGAGAAAAATGGAAAGGCAAAGCTTCTAATGCCTGCTGAAGGAAAATAAGGGGAAGGAGAAGGGATTCACATTATTGGAAAGCAGGAGCATTTTCTAAAGAATAGGTTATGACAGGGAAGACGCAGAATTAATTTTGGCTGCAGGAAAAACAGGCTTCAGAAAGTTTAAAAACTTTCCTATGAACACTGTGATTCTAAGTGAAAAGTTCTGGAATACTTACAGGAGTTGGAATGATTCTATGAAAATACACAAATTCTTCACTGAAGAATGCTACAGAAGGGATGTGAGTTCAGTAGGAAATGCAGAAATATAGATCACACAGAATAAAATTAGGGTCCAGTAATGAAGAGAAAGCAAGCCACAACATAAAGCCAAGGGTTAAGATGGGGACTAGTACAGGCAATTTTAAATGTATAATGCTAAACAAGAATCTCAGCGTAACAGGTTATGTTCAAAATCTGTGGGAAAGAATAAAATTAGTCAGGCAGTGCAGTACCATGAGCAAAATACACAGAGAAGGCAAAGTAGACCTTATCAGAGGAGGAATAATGATGGTTGTTAAAGGCAACTCTAAGTCAAAAGAAGACTCAAGGAAGATTATTAACACTAGCTAGCCAGGAAAAGTTCTTTAGTTCTAAATTTTACAGCAACCGTAATGAGTTTAAATATAGTGTCCGTGCAGGAGCAGTAAAGGCCAAGATTACATGATGGTTGCACTCAGTTTAAAAAAAAAAAAAAAAAGGTAAAATAAATAAAACTGAGAGATACTACTATAAAAAAACCTGAATGGAATAGTGGTGTCTACAAACAGCATTCTGAAGGCCCACAGCAAATGGGCAATACACATTAAAACACAAATAAGTAAAGGTTAACAACATATCTAATAAAGGCAAGAACACCATTTATTTAAAAAAAAAATGGAGTTGTGTCCCAGTAGGAAAACAGAAAGAACCATAACATCTGATTTGTCTGTAAAACCACAGTAAAGGAGACAAAAAAAAACCCAACAACATAGTTTGAATAAGTCTCTGGCATTCTTTAGTTCTAAATTTTACAGCAACCGTAATGAGTTTAAATATAGTGTCCGTGCAGGAGCAGTAAAGGCCAAGATTACATGATGGTTGCACTCAGTTTAAAAAAAAAAAAAAAAGGTAAAATAAATAAAACTGAGAGATACTACTATAAAAAAACCTGAATGGAATAGTGGTGTCTACAAACAGCATTCTGAAGGCCCACAGCAAATGGGCAATACACATTAAAACACAAATAAGTAAAGGTTAACAACATATCTAATAAAGGCAAGAACACCATTTATTTAAAAAAAAAATGGAGTTGTGTCCCAGTAGGAAAACAGAAAGAACCATAACATCTGATTTGTCTGTAAAACCACAGTAAAGGAGACAAAAAAAAACCCAACAACATAGTTTGAATAAGTCTCTGGCAAACAAGCCAATAATAATAATAATAATCTTTTAAATACATCTGGAGGCCTGAGGGGAACTCTGTAAAGCCAACTCAAAATTATAGAAAAAGTGCTCAGAGAACATAAGATTGCAGATGTAATTCTTAATAAATTACTTTTGTATTCAGTGTAGAATATCTGCGGAATTTTTCTATTCTTTAATCCTTCTTTATGGGGGACTCAAGAGAAGGTTAAATTAGCAACAGAAGCAGTTGTGGAATGAACAGACACAACAGTAACACCTAATTGGGATCAGCTGTTAAATGCCCAAGAGCCTGAAGGATGAAATAAGTGGACTATTATGATGTGTAGTATTTTGCTTCAAACCACTGTGACACATGAAGACTTGGAGGTTCTAATATAAGACTGATTTTTCCCCGAAAGATTTCTGAGTTCAGGGGAGTTGAGGACAGATATAACTGACGTGCACATGGCAAAACAATAGCAGCAGGATTAATGGTCACAGGGACATCATGCCACACTGAAAAAAAACTCATGGCAGCTTTTCCAAATAAAGTTCATATTCAGCTACACTTTCTGAATTATTTAAAGAAGTCAACATGCAGGCAAATATGTAGGGTTGGATTCAAAACAAACAAAGGAAAACTGTTTCTCGTGCAATATACGATTAATCTGTGGACCTCACTAACACAGGACGTTGGGGACTCTCATACCTTAGATAAATTTCAAAGTAATAGGACAACCTCCTGTAAGAAAAATCCACTAGGGGTGGTTAAACACAAATAAACCATCTGGGCTAAAAATCCTTAGAAACTGGGAAAACGTTCTGGAGTACTTTTTGGCCTGTTCTGATATACAACCTCTAGATGGTATAGAAGATGATATAGAAGGCAGGCCAGATGGATTTTTGTCTTAACATTCTTACATGCCTGGAAAAAGGCAGTATACTTGCATACTCATGAAAAGAAGAAGATGTATTTTTAAATGAGAGAAAACAGTGAAGTTTCAGGTGTGATTTGGTACCTAAGGAGCATTTAATCTACATAAAGTGGGATTGCAGAAGAAAAGAGACACAAAGTAAAAAAACTGCCATGATTTTACAGCAAATTCACATGAATTTTCTGATATAAAATTGTCTTACTAAAAAATTTTAGCACATAAAACAGTTTTGGCATAGTTATCAAGGTTTATGATTGATTAGTGTCTGGATTTCAAAAGTACAAAATATACAAAACCTCAATAAATTAAAGGGCCTCAATGATAATATTGTTAGCTATAGAGACAATGAAACTCTTTAGATTAGCATACTTCTGAAAAGTCTAATTTAAACTAATTGATAAGAAATGTTATGAATTGTCAGTGGATGGTCATTACTTTGAGACTGTGTTTTCAAGGACAGATATAGTCTGGGCCAAGACACGTAAAAAAAAATAAATCTGTTGCAGATTATCAAAACAACAATGCTTAGCATGAGTCAATTATCTTTGATACCTGGAAGTTTCAGGTTATACTGTTTTGTCTTTTGAAGGGGATAATCCAGTTTCCCTCGATAGAATAGTATTTCCCAAAAAAATTTTCAAGTGTAAATTAAATGAACTTTCAGTCTCAGACTGTGGCATAATGATATATTTCCTCTTAAACATTCAAAAATCATACTTTCCAATCAAGTTTTACATTATCTATGAAAACAACAATATATTCCTTTTATTTTATTTTATTTTTTTTCAGAATTTACTGCTCTTTCTGGATCTCAATTCCTTATCCAAAGTATTTTTCACAATAATACTTTCAGTCATGCTTATTTGAAAATTAGTGCATTTGGAATACAACATACTCTTTGGAAATCTGGGTGGGTTGTCATTGACATCCGTGAGAGTAATGTTTACAGTGGTAGTACCAGCTAGTCCTCCCAGTTGTCCTCCCATGTCCTTGGCTTGGATTAGAACTTGATATTGTTCTTTCACTTCTCTGTCCATATTTGGCAAAGCTGTTCTTATTACACCTACAAGAAGAGATGGGAAAGAGAATGAACAAGTAAACAAAGTGTCATGATTGTCTAGTATTATATTTTAATACTGGATATTTTGGACCAGGAATGGAACCCTTCTTAAAGGGGTGATAAGAGAAGTGTTCACACAGAAACACAGAAATAATTTGGGCTTTTCAAAAGTGTGTTCATCAGCTGTTCAATCACTCAAAATCACTGCTGTGTCTTTTCAGTCAGGACATGAATGGCTGAAAGAGAATGATTCATTTTCACTAGGGCTGTGAATGGCATAAGCTACACCAGTACTGAAGAATGCCTAACTGTGCAGATTAGGACAATGTAGAAAGAGATGCCAATGTGTTTCAGAGCCTGCATCTTCAATTGTTTCAAACCAGTCACTCACCTTTACAGTAAAGCTACTGTAGGCCAAGACAATATCCCTTTTCTACAAAAGGAGGCCTTTATTAGAAGACTCATCACTGCTTGAGAAAGCTTTCTTGATATAGCATGCATATGCAGTGAAAATTTTAGGAGATTTGTTAAAGAAAGGTAATTAAAATATGGTAAGATATTAATCAAATTACCCTAAATCTTTAGTGATTTTGGATAGCTGATGTCTAAATAGGTATGCCATATCTCTCTTCTAATTTGTTAGATAAAAGGAAGACTTGGAGAGAGTACATAAAATTAGCTGCTGAGGTTGTAAAAAGTCATAAGTGATAAGGAACTCATGCCTTTTTCTTGAAACTAGTTATAGAGGAGAAAATGCTTTTCTTTGTCAAAATTTTACAATATTATGTTGCAAAATGCTATATAATCAGTAATAGTTTTCAGAAAATTGCTATGTGCAGATTGGTGCAGATAGCATGCACAACTGAAAAATAAACAAACTGGAATCATGCTTCTCCTCTAACTTATTATTGATTTAATAATATGATTGTTTAATACTGTTAGCTTATAGTGCTTGTTCAGAGTCTAAAATAACTTTGACCTAAATCTCTTTTTTCTAGAACCTATTAAAATTCCTGTTGAATTTAATTCTATAACAATTTCCTTTCTCTTCACTGGTAACACTGATTATGAAAATTACAACATTAATAATATCTACTATTTTCTACCTCTGCATGGCATATACTGTACTGCGTAGATCTGGAGTATGACTAGCAAATACTTTAAAACATTTAGATACTGCAACAACTGAGTTTTTTAAAAGAATCACTGTTGTTAAATGTTTTGTATATTTCAGACAGAAATCTTGAATTATAAAATTGTATTCGTATTAATGTGATATTCATGAAGAAAAAAGAATTTGTAAATAGGATTAATATTACTAGATTTCCTCCTGAATCTCTTAATCTATGTTTTGCATAGTAGATACTGTATCTTCTACAGTATTTTACAACATCCTTGTTATGCTCATTCTAAAGAGAAAGAGTTACAAGAACTAAAGATCTCCCTTGATATACCACCGAAACAAAAGAGCAGTAAGTATAAAAATCTGAAAATAGGCAGATACTAGGTTGTGTGCAGGAAATGCAGTTCATCTGAGTGTCATACCTGTGTTATGTACAACTGAATGGCTTTCTCAATTAGAAATATTGCAGATAGTCTTCAGAAAATGAAGAACTGGCTATCACTCTAGTAGTAAAATTCACAGCCACCCACAATTTTTTTCCTGCATGGAAGGATAAGGGCATTCTCTATATTTTTCTTTGAAAAACCTTTGTCTCAAAAAACCACCAATGAGAATAATTTTCATGTCCATATGTTCATAGTCATTTTTTTTTTCCTTTTCTACCTACTCTATTTCAAAAGAAAAATAAAACCAAAAACCAAACACAAAGCCAAAACCTGAAAAATACTGTTTCTACCAAAAAATCCCAATCAGTTCATTTGGACAGAAAAATAAAATGCCGGTTAAAATCCCTGGGAAAGAAAGGACTATGAATTTTGGTATTAGAGCTTCAGCTTCTCAAAAAATACCCAAACTTTAAATCAAGGGCTTATTATAATGTAGAGGTCTTACATTCATGTAATGCTGTTTTGAGTTTTTTTAAGCCCTTCTACCTTAGGATTTTACAATAAAGATTGCTTGGTTCCAGAACTGAATAACTTATTTTTATTTGTTTTTCTTTGCAAATGTCATCAATATGAAATGTGCAGATCAGTATGGTTTCGAAGACATTGCTGAAAATTAAAATAGTATGTATAGAAACTGGGCCAGAAAATATGTTCTGCAAAGCTATAGGGCCATAATTCAACAGGAGATGATCATCTTACATGGAAGGGAAAATCCCAGGTCTCTGAAAATAACTTCTTAATAAATATTAATGTCAATACTCCTGCTGATACCAATTTGGATGTCAAGAATATAACTGAGATCATAATACAGAGTAGAATACTGAGTCTGAGAAAAAAACTGAGGCATCTCACCATAAACAAGAAAACTGACCTCATAAACACATCAGAAAATTGGACGGAAAGTTGTTTGTCAAAAAGAGAATCATAGAATCATAGAATCATAGAATCTTAGGGGCTGGAAGGGACCTCGAGAGATCATCTAGTCCAACCCCCCTGCCAGAGCAGGGTCACCTAGAGTACATCACACAGGAACTCATCCAGGTGGGTTTTGAATGTCTCCAGTGAGGGAGACTCCACAACCTCCCTGGGCAGTCTGTTCCAGTGCTCTGTCACTCTCACAGTAAAAAAATTTTTTCGGATATTCACCTTGAACCTCCTATGCTCCAATTTACACCCATTACCCCTTGTCCTATCACTGGTCATCACCGAGAAAAGCCTAACTCCGTCCCCCTGACACTCACCCCTTACATATTTGTAAACATTGATGAGGTCACCCCTCAGTCTCCTTTTCTCCAAGCTAAAGAGACCCAGCTCCCTCAGCCTTTCCTCATAAGGGAGATGTTCCACTCCCCTAATCATCTTCGTAGCTCTGCGCTGGACTCTTTCGAGCAGTTCCCTGTCCTTTTTGAACTGAGGGGCCCAGAACTGGACACAATACTCCAGATGTGGCCTCACCAATGCAGAATAGAGGGGGAGGAGAACCTCTCTTGACCTACTAACCACACCCTTTCTAATGCACCCCAGGATGCCATTGGCCTTCTTGGCCACAAGGGCACATTGCTGGCTCATGGTCATCCTCCTGTCTACCAGGACCCCCAGGTCTCTTTCACCTACACTACTCTCCAGCAGTTCAGCCCCCAACCTGTACTGGGACATGGTGTTGTTCTTCCCCAAATGTAAAACTCTGCACTTCCCCTTGTTGAATTTCATCATGTTTCTCCCCGCCCAACTCTCCAACCTATCTAAGTCTCTCTGAATGGCAGCACAGCCTTCTGGTGTGTCAGCCACTCCTCCCAGCTTAGTGTCATCAGCAAACTTGCTGAGGGTACATTCTATACCCTCATCCAGGTCGTTGATGAAGATGTTGAACAACACCGGTCCCAGCACCGACCCTTGTGGGACTCCACTAGTAACACACCTCCAACCAGATTCTACCCCATTGACTACAACTCTCTGACTCCTTCCTTTCAACCAGTTCCTAATCCACCTCACTTCCTGGTCACCAAACCCATACCTGATCAACTTATCCACAAGGATAGAGCTTTTAGTAACAGGAGAGAACATACAGAGGAAAGATAAGAGAGGTTATCTGTCTTAAAAGAACTGCTCTGTCTTAAAGAAAACTCACATTAAAATCAGAACAGCAATTTCAGAGCATGAAAAAGTAACCTCCATGTGTAAGATTTGAGGAATTAAACTGTGCCAGTCCAAGAGCTGCTCTCTAGCATGGATTGTAATGCATTTAACCTTCCTGTTAGAGCAAAAAAAAATAACTTTCCTACTTCCACATAGTTTACTTACCTCCAGCAAAGCACTGCAAAAAAATTAGGAAGTCAGTAAAGAAGAGGAGTAAAGGGGCAGCTGTGACGTTCAGACCCATAAAGGTTAAAAGCTATTTCACTGTATTAGATTAATGTCAGAGTAAATATTTATCACCTATCAGAAATCATTTGAGAAAGGATTAAGTGTAAAGTCATGTGTACACCAAACACAATCCTTATTTCACATATAAAATTATGGTCAGTGGTTTCACTGTTACTGCTTCACAATGAGATCTTGAGGTAGTAATAGAAATTTCCACAAGTAAATCAGCTTTTGTATGCTAGAAGCAAAAAAGTAAGCAGAATTTTTAGAACAGTTTGCAAAGAAATAAGGAAGTATTATGATTAAACCATTTTATAGACATCTATATAAGCAGCCTTCTTGAATACTATGTGCACTTTCTCATACCGAGAAGGGAGAGAAGGATAGTGGTATGTAATATCAGTGGTATGTAATAGCTTCTGTTTAAAGTCTTCATTATATAAAAGACGCAACTGGGAGACAATATGGGGAACTAAGTTAATGGGGAACTAATAAATAGGAATTAACTGATCGCAGTCACATGCAAAGCAAGTGTGAAGTATGAAATAAATTAAAAGATGTCATGCTTCAAAGAAGAAAGAGGAGCTGTTTTTTCACCTAAACATTTTTTTGCTGTGGAATTTCTAGTCACTGGGTGTGCAGATACTGTGTTTCTTGACAAGTCGAATCTACTGGGAAGTGGACCAGTTATGGAAGAGAAAGTCTGCCAGAATTTTAGTTACATGGACACAGTTAATCATCTAGGAACTTCAAAAGAAGCTGTTGAAGACCAGAAGTGTATTTGGGGTGCATCACTAAACAATTATTTTATCCTTCACCAGAGCTGAGCAGGTCATCACTTTTGGAAATATGATACAAGGCAGCATGAACCTTAATCTGACCTAGTATGGGTGTTCTTAAGTTATTTACATAACTACAAAGAAATGTCTCAAAAATGTCACTAGAATGCAAGAGATGGGACAACAAACAAACAAACAAGCACCCAAAATGACAACCCAGAAAATGCTTATTGATCAGTAATTTTGTACCAAAATGGCTGTCTTCCCCTTTCCTGTCAAATCCACTCTAGGCAGGCATAGAAAAACTACTGTATCATCCCTTCAGTTATAAAACTAGGAACTGAAAATGCCAGAAGATCTGTAGTGCTACCCATGACTTCTGGATTTTAGAGCAAAGCATTAACCAGCATCCTATAGATTATTATTCATATAATATTATCTCTATAGTAATTTTTAGACCCACAGGCAACTCTCATATTGTGACCTATCTAATGCAATACAGCTTACAAGCACATTTTGCTCACAGAAGCATGATTCTATTTTTAAATATATATTTATATATTTTTTTTTATTTATTTTTTTTTTCCTGGTATAGGATTTTAAGCTGTACTAGTCTAGCTGTTTCATGAATCTTCCTTTACAGCTGTGTCTATTCTTTTAACACCAAGGTCCTCCTGAGTGACTTATTAAAGATATTAATAGGCAGATGTGGAAACAGTGTGTTTATATGATTTTTCAGGGATAGCAGGGTGCAGGACTGCACCTATACTCCACTCACAATTCAGTGAGTAATATATGAGAGCATATGATCCAGCAATTCAAATCACCACGGGAAAAAAATTTTCATCTTCAAGTACTAATAATTTTTTTTCTTCGGAAACTTCTACTGGAGCTACAATTGTAGCTTCAGTAAAGGTTTCCATTTAATTCCTCCTCATTGTTTCAAAGATTGAAAAAAAAAAAAAAAGTATCAAGGTAATATATATTTTTTTTTTATGGCAGACACTTGAAGAAGTCCCATTTCAGTTTGAAAAGTAAAGTTGCTAATTGCAAATTGCAGTATGATCTCCTGCTAAATGGAGGAATATGCCCAGTGGGGATAGTGCACTAACAGCCTTATGAGGCTCTCACACCAAAACTATTGAATGACCATAGATAAAGGCTCTTTAATACACAATCTGACATTCAAGTATGGCTTCACTGGAAGGAGAAACTATTTGCTGAAAGGGGCATATGTACAACTATCCCTGTAACACTCAGGATGACACAATGCATGTCATTCACCATGTAGGTTATTGGGTCCTTAACTGAACTACTAAATATAGAAATAAGAATGACATTTAGAAACATAGGGCCAGATACATAATTGACATGACTACCGACCTCACAAATACTTCAGTCTCTTTAAACATACCCTTTTCTGCTCACACACCCAGTAACCCCAGACAACTGTACTATGCCCCAGGAAAAGAGGAGAGCAGGAAATTATTATCTGCTTCACAGTCTCAAATTAGCTCTATATAGCAAAACAATCATTGCTAGATAATTTGCGACTGCATGTTCTACAAGTAAATATTCTGAGATAAAAAAGTCTAGACCCAAGATAAAATACTGAATCATCAAAGAAAAATGAGAGTGTATCTAGCACATAAAATTTTAGTTATAGAGAAACAGTAAAGTATTAAAAAATGTACAATGTATACATATTTTAGATATTCAAGGACTGATTGGAGGACAAGATTTCTTTTGTTTCTACAACAGACTGTAATTAATTCAAAAACTACTCAGTACTGAATGATGTCCATAGTTACTCTTCGGACTTTTGGCCATATCAGACTAGTTCATATTTATTCATAGAAAAAATAAATATGAATCAAATGAATCAAAATCCAAAGTTTAAGTCTTCCACTGACTCTGATAAGCTACTTACCTGTCTTTGGATCAATGGAGAAATACGGTTGCCCCTGAAGAATGCTGTAAACCACTCTAGCACTGTTTCCATAAGTGGGATCATCAGCATCTGTTGCTTTTACTTGAAGCACATATGCACCTGAAAAGAAACACAGGTAATCCCATTTTCAGTAAAGAGCAGTGATCAGGGATATTTCAGACATATTAGTCCTGGTGCTAGTGTATTCTGTGTAATTCTTGTTCAACTGGAAAGAAGCCGATATTAAACCAGGGAATTCTTCATATCCATGCTAGTAACCAACTAGGTAACAGCTGAGGTATAATGGAAGGAAGGGGAGGCCAGAACTGGACAAAGTATTCCAGATGTGACCTCACCAGGGCAGAGTAGAGGGGTACAATGACCTCTCTCGACCTACTGGCCATACTTTTCCTTATGCACCCCAGGATTCCATTGGCCTTCTTGGTGGAAAGGGCACATTGCTGGCTCATGGATAATTGACTGTCTACCAGGACTCCCAGATCTGTCTCCTCGGAACTGCTCCCCAGCAGGGCCATCTCTTACTTATATTGGTGCATGGGGTTCTTCCTCCCCAGGTGCAGGACTCTAAACTTCCACTTGTTGAACCTCATTATGCTCTTCTCTGCCCAGCTCTCCAGACTGTCCAGGTCACACTGGATGGCAGCACAGCCCCATGGAGTGTCAGCCACCCCTCCAAGTTTGGTATCATCACTGAATTTGATGAGGATACACTGTCCCCTCATCTAGGTCATTGATGAATATATCAAACAAGACTGGACTGGATACTGACCCCTGGGGGACACCACTGCTTACAAGCCTCCAAACTTGACCCTGCTCCATTGATCACAACTCTGAGTTCTGTCACACAGCCAGCTCTCAATCCACTGCACTGTCCATTCATCTAGCCCACACTCCCTCATAAGGATGCTCTGGGAGTGTCAAAAGCCTTGCTGAAATCGAGGTAGCTGACATCTGCTGTGAGTTGCCTTCAAAACAAGTGTTTGGTCAAGCAGCTCCTGAATCTGCCAGTGCATCAATTTCTAAATCCATTAAAAGACTACTGCAGTCTCCTAAATCTTAAATTCACATTCCCATGGTAAAATGAAATCAGGTGTTTGGTGCAGCCAGTTGTCTTTAAAATCCAGACTTGAGTCTTCTTCCCTTTCCAACACAGCTCAGTAGTAAACAATAATACTATGGAGGAAGATACTCTATTGTTACTCTGTGTTTAGACATGGTTACAGACCAGATCTACTGCAGTTTGCTTTATATTCCAACTTAAAGGAGACTCATACCATGGAGTGGAAGAATTGCAAATGAAGAAGGAAAACAAACTGTGAATGGCAATAGCCTTGTCCCTCATGCAAGTCACTAAGCTATTTACCTGCATTTCCTTACTGCCTCCTAATGAAAGTGATGTTCAAACTATAGTCTTCATCAAAACAAATGGGCACACATTTAGGCTTTCCCATCAGCTTTGAATAATTAATACTTTCCTATGATTTTCTGTGCAAATGCATGCTGGAATTTGTAATGCTCATCTGGAGTGAGTGAAGATTAAGACAACCTACGTGAGGGACAACAAAGGGAGGAGGGTTATCCACACCACTTTTGTTTTAAAAAAATATTTTTCATTTGGAGGTCATTTGACATTTCTACAAGAACACCTATGGAATACTACAAGCACTTCAAGACTGCTACTTTTCTGTAATGAAAACTGTCATGTTTTAAAGGATGTTCACAATCTAAAATGAACCGGAATGGACTTGTTGAAGTTCACTTCTTAGAGTGCCTCACTGTTAGATGTTCCATGTGAAAGGTCTTACCACTTAGACAGGAAAGTAACTCATTGCAAATGCAGCTGTTTGGAAGACTTTCCAGTTCCCAACCCCCCACACACACACACTTTTTTCCTTGTGTGATTTATTCATTTATTTTTAAAAGTTTAGATAAGTGATCAACTCATTTATTTACCATTTTACTCTATCAAATCAATACCTAGAATAAATCTGATTTTTACTCCTTATGGTTAAATGACATTTCATTATTGTTGTTATGAAAGAGGCCAAGAAGGAAAGATGATCTTTATTTCATAGACTGAAAACTACTTATATTGTCTCTCATTATGCTTATCTTTTTACACACATGGTAGAGTGGCTAAGTTCAATTCAGATCTGCAATAAAAGATAAGCCACAAAAAACCCATATGCAATGCATAAAATGTATCAACATAACACTGAATTAGTGGAATTCAGAAATGTTTTTCTTCCAGGTGAAATAAAACAGAAAAAAAACACCCCAAACCAAAAAAATGTAATTGGCTTTGATACTTTTCCAGAAAACATCCTTGTCTCTAAAATACAGACATGGATTTGATGGCTGGACAACTTGGCGGAAAAGGAATTGGCTGGATGGCTTCATTGAAAGAATTGTGGTCAATGGCTCAGTGTCTGAGTGGAGACCAGTGAAGAGTGGCCTCCCTCATAGGTCTCTGCTGGGACCAGAATTATTTAACATCTTTGTCAGGGACATGGACAGTGGGATCAACTGCACGCTCAGCAAGTTTGCATATGACACAAAGCTGAGTAGTGTGATTGATACTCTAGAGGGAAGGTACAACAGCTAGAGTAACCTGGAGTAACTCAAGAAGTGAGGCCATGTGAACTTCATGAGGTTCAACAAGGCAAAGTGCAAGGTCCTGCACATGGGTTGGGACAACCCCCAGTATGAATACAGGCTCAGGGTTGAAGGGATTGAGAACAACCTTGATGAGAAGGGCTTGGGAGTACTGGTGGATGAAAAGTCGGGCACGAGTGGGTAATGTGCGCTTGCAGCCCAGAAGGCCAACCACATCCTGGGCTGCATCAAAAGAAACATGGCCAGCAGGTTGAGGGAGGTGATTCTTCCCACCTGCTCCACTCATGACACCCTATCTGGAGTACTATGTCCAGTTCTGGTGCCTCCAACATAAAAAAGACATGTACCTGCTCAAGTGGGTCCAGAGCAGGGCCAGAGAGGTGGACCACCTCTCCTGTGAAGACAGGCTGAAAGAGTTGGGGTTGTTCAGCCTGGAGAAGGCTACAGGGAGACAGTTTCTCTTCTATTTTAGGAAGTTTAGGTAAGAAATGCTCAATTAGGATATTGAAACAATCTTAATGTTTCTTATTATTTAAGCATTCACATATATTTAAGATGTTGGCATGTGAAGTACTGAATACGTTAGTTGGGGGATTTTTAATAAGTAAATTAGTAATTTTTCATAAATTTAATCCTTAGAGTGTCTCAGGAGACTGAAAGAACAGACACAGCAGTAAATGTGTTTTTGCATATCCAAAGCGAATCTACTGTGACTGAGAATGGATTTTGGAGCTCATGTCCCATTCCATCATTTGTTTACTAAACAACACCAACTTAAAACTAATCAGCATCCTCTATACAGAGCAACAACCAGATCCCTGTCTTTCTAAAACCACTACAACCAACAAGCTCCTGCTACACCATCAGCAGCAGCTTACTCCAAACCAGATACTTTAATAAAACAAAGATTTTCTAAAAGACTGTGAGCCAGAATGAGTGCTTTCATGGTGATACTCACAGTGGAGTTTATGTCACTTTTTATTAGACTTTACCATGTAGTAATCTACACTAATGCCAGGCATCTGCAGCTCTTTTTGAAGCCAAGGGCTGGGCACAGGAAATGTGGCAGCACTGGTCTGCTTGTACCAGTGATGCACAGGTAGGCAAGTGAAACACCACAGCTGAATCCCTGTCCAAGTTCTCATGCAAAAATGTGATGTTGCAAGGTGTTGCGAGGAAGCTGCCTGCAGCCATCAGTCTGCCTGCAAATTCTGCCATTGACCTAGTAGGTCGCTGATGATCCCTGTCCAGACCAATTCTTAGTAGTCTAAAAATAATAGTTTATATATTCTTAGATACATTCTCCAGGTAATGCAACCTTATTACACAAAAAGAAAGAAATGTAGATTTATAAGCTAAGTTTTATTAAGGTAGATCTTTAAAGTCCCATTTTAGTCTGATAAATAGCAGGCACTGAATATGAAAAATAACCTATTTTACATTTATAACAGTTTCAACTGTACTAATTCATCTGCCAGATCTTTTACAACAAAGAGATAAAAAGTAAAGCTTGTATTTTATGGGAAGTCAGGCATGTTTTTTTAATGTGCCTCCAGTCGTTTACTAATTTAAATACATACCTGATGTTCTAAACAGGTTTTCTGAAATTGATTTCTTATCCTTCCAGTATTATCAAACATTTCCCATCATATCTAACAAGATTTCTATTTTATTGCAAATCATAAAACCAATATGCCTTTAAAAGTAGACTCTAAAATCTAATTAATTTTTGCAGGCAATAATACAGGGCACTATAGATGTAAATCTTTAATGCAGAAAGGTAGTGATGGAGGATCACATTTACTATTGCTCATGACATTTTAATTAAAGGATGGACTCACAGATTATTACATGGAGTAATCAATTTTTGTTGTTGTTGTTTGGAAATACTTTATATGATAGTATTTAAAAAGACATAAGTTTATTTTAGTGTGCAATCAACAAATAATTTATGTCAGATATCATTAAATGAATAATGGGATTATGTGTTTAAGTAATAATTTCTGTTTCAGAAAGAAAATAAAAATAATGCTAAACCATTCATACAGCAAATGCTATGGAATTTTAATGAAGATTATATTTTCTCTAAAATATTACAGACAATGTTGAGGACTAGTATTTTATAATAAGTTGATTTAATCACAGCAAGCATACTGGCCTGAATTTTACTCTGGCTGAAGTCCAAACATAATCCAGCAATAACTGCAAATTTAATGGAGCCCAAGTTCTCTTAACTCATTGGCCAAACTAACTAAAGTAGCACAAAAAACCTTCATAGTTTATATTAGGTGACAGGGGGGAACTAATAGAAAGCCTGGGTTTATACCATAATGAGAATGTTTATGTAATAAGAACTTAACTGCTAGGACTATTACAGTTTGTTCTGGCAGTCTTTCATTAGTAAAAATGCTACGTCACCTAAATCAAAAGAATCGCTTAAGAAAGGGCAGTATTTTCCCATCCAAAAACTACTAGAACATTTG